GATCTCATAATAACTCAAAGACTATCATGAGAATAGCAAGGGGGAAATCTGCCCCTATGATCCAATCACCTCCCGCCAGGCCCCTCTTCCAATTCGACATGAGATATGGATGAGGACACAAATCCAAACCATATCACTTATTATATATGTAAAAGTGTTTATTTTAGAAAGTTGATTCTGACAGGTTAGTTTCTAGCAAGTAATATAATGAGAAAAATAGATCACTGTTCAATTCTTGCTTCAACCACTAACTATGAAGTATGTAACCAATCATTTTGCCTATATCTTTACTGCCATCATTTCATCTACTAGAACAGATGAAATACTTTATGTTTCTTTTAAGGATTAATGCATAATGTACATAAAGCATCTGCACCAGGCATAGATAAAGAGAGGAATTCATTAGCTAGAATATTATTTATAAAAGAATGAGACTTTAGACACCAATTATGCCCTATTATCATCATCAGTTATACCCACAGTAATGAACATAATGGAGAAAGAGCTCTATAATCTGCCAGTGCAAGTCTACATACTTTTACCTTGGAGGTTGATACATAGACTTTACAAGCAGGAAGCTGATATGCTCATGCCTTGACAACCATTCGAAATGACTTTGGAATCTTATGTTCATTCCACTGAGATACTCTTCTGGATTTGCAGCTTACCATGGCACCTGAACTCATCACGATAACCCTTACTTGTTTAGTGGAAAACCAGAAAAAGCAGCTGATAGTGAATCTGAAACAGTAAAGATCATTTACAGGATATCTCAGCCTGTGGTGATGGCGATTATTGTAGGGCTACAATGCATAGGGAAATCCTACTTGATGAATCATCTTGCAAGTCAGAACTATGGTCAGTGTGGTCTTGACACAGAGACCATTAGTTTGGAATCACAATAATGCACCTGATTACACCAACTATATGATCATCATAAGAAGGAGACCAATTCTTCCCTATAAAAAATTCAAATTCCTACAACTAAATTTACACCTGGGGCTGCCTGTCTTATCTGCTGTCACTGTTTTGTTGCTTTGTCCTCTTCCTTAGCAGGCTTCTGTGTGGGTTCTGCTATGAAGTCTGAATCCCAGGATTCTGGATGTGGGGCTCTCTCCAAGCAGAACCACACTGGGGGCCTGGGTTATGCAAGATGGTTAAGGCAGAGTCATGAAGACCTGTACTCTTGATTCTCAACATTGAATTAACTATCTTGATTCAACTTATCTGGCGTATTTCTGCAAAATGAAAATACGGATCACGAAGAATGAGTTTTAGTTCTGTCTCCCTGAACTTTTCTCCTTGGCATGATCAAATGCTTTGGAATATTAAAGGTAAGATCTTATTTAAAACTGGGGTGAACAATAGAATTGAGAAATACTTCTGAGCAGCTGAATTTCAAGGCTTTGTGCTAAGTACTATAGAAAGGCAGTAAACAGGGTAAAAGCCTAAAGCCTAGTTAGGGAGACCACACATACACAGTGTGATCAGTGCAGGGTGCCATAGATGCACAGAAGTAGGGATCTAGCTCAGTTGTACAGACCAAATAAAACTTCTTGGAGGAAATAACATCTAGACCATAACTAGGGGAATCACTGGTAGCTATCAGTTAAAGCACAGGGGAGTGATTGTTTTGGAAACATAAGCGTTGGAAATAGGGTTTCAGTAAAGTTATCCTTTAAATAACCTCCAAAAAGCTTCAGCTACATCAGGAACATAATAAAGGTTTTACTGCAAGTCTAAGGGCTTTGGAAATTAACTCTTCACTGACTTCTCCAAAAGGATGAACTTAGCCTATGTAAAATAGTGTGAGATAATTTTAGATATTCTGTCTTCACAGTATGAAGGGCAATGTACGATAGTTCCTAATTTTACATTACTCTGAGTCTAAATCAAAATTAGCAACAGATCTTTGACATCTATTATTGCAAATGAAAGAAGGAAAAGAAGAAGAGAGAAAGGGAAAGAAAAAAAAGAGAAAAGTGTTTTTCAGAAAAAAAAAATCTTATTATAAGTCTATCTGTGTGGATAAGCAAATAATGCAGCCATGTAGTGCAATAGCCTCAGAAAGGTCAGTACTTGATTTGAAATTATTGTATTGAATTTCTTGATGATTTTTTTAATGATCAGCCTCACATTCTCATTTGAATGTTTCAGTTCACCTTTCCAATATACTCTTTTATTTAATTTCAATGAAAATGTGGTGTTCCTGGGCACTACTGAGTACATTGGCTTTGATCAGTAATTAAATAGTAACTTGAAGTGTTACAGAATCATTTTTAAAAGTGTGAACTGCCCCTTGTGGTTAGAACTCAGAGAAGTCATAAGTCCCCATCCTCCAAAACTTGATGCCAGGTTTTTCAGTTACATGACACCAAAAAAGGCCTGGATTAAACTGTGTCAAGCATTTAATAGCAAGTCGCTGCAAATAGTCATGTAATGTGTTTTTAGCCTGTGGATGCTGCTCCTTTGAAGCCAGAGTTCATTCCAAGTTGAATGTGGTGAGGCTCTATGGCCTTGAAGTTAGAACAAGTGGCAAAATTCTCTGTGGAGAGTGAAAGGCAGAGTTATTGAATTGGAACATTGCACAGATGGCATAGGCCTGGAGGCTTGTCTGATTTTATGTATTCTTACTGTCGTCTGTTTGCACTTCCCCGCCACCCCAAAGTATATGTTGACATTTAATCACCAATGTAATAGTATTAGACAGTGGGTCATTTAGGAGGTGAGAATAAACTTAGGTCATGAGAATGGAACTGGTGACACTAGTGCCCTTATAAAAGAGGTTCCCGAAAGATGCCTTGCCCTTCACCATGTGAGTACACATCAAGAGGCCACCAACTATGAACCAGAAATCATACCCTTATCAGACCCCCAATCTGCCCATGCTTGTGTTTCTCAGCCTCCAGAAAGGTGAGAAGTAAATTTCTGTTGTGTATGACCAATCCAGCTTATTGTGTTTTATAGAAGACCAGACACTTCTTCATGCTTATTTTTCTAACCAATCACCTCTGTTAAACAACATTGATGTTATTACTTTTACCATCCTTTGTGCCAGTTGACAAGAATTTGGTTTTGACACAGAAGAGAGTACCTCTTCTTGAGGAGATCATTCCAGATTAGGTCATTCATATGCTTATCACTATCTTCAGAATGTATATTGAAGTCAATTTGCAAACACACACACACACACACACACACACACACACACACGCATGCACGACATTGACTATTCTGAACTATACTGAAGTAAGTACATAAAGAAAACATAATCACTTGCCCTGTATGACCTACTAATGTCATAACTTCCTGTCTCCTTGACTGGCTCACTGGGATTAAAAGCATCTGCAACTCTATTATTTCCTTTAGTTTCCTTCTAAAATCAATGAGCCAGTAAAACACCCTCATTTCAAAAAACTATTATTTGATATGTCCTGTAAATGAATTAAAAGTTAAACCACAAAATACAAAAACATGTAGACATTGCACTTTAATTTTTCAAAAAACGTATAAATAAGAAGCTCAAAATCTGATATGGAAAATATTCAAAAAATCTTCAACTAAGATGCTTTGTATCAAAAAAAAGTTATTTCCTTCTTAAGAGTATGTGTGTGCATTTCTGTTATTATTTTAAAAAGTCTTTGAAAATTCATATAATTCAGAAAGACATTTTTTAAAATCACCTGAGCTACAATTACTAATTTTGGGGAGGTAGTGGTTGGTGAATACTTCTAGACGTTTATCTGTGCAACATAGACATATTGCTACATCCATTTTCTATGTGCATAGACATATTGCTATGTGCAATCATTGCTATGTACGCTTGTGAATTAATAACCTTTTTTCGGGGCAGGGGACAGTGTCTCACTCTGTTACCCAGGTTGGAGTGCAGTGGCATCACCAGGGCTCATTGCAGCCTTGACCTCCTGGGCTCAGACTCCCATCTCGGACTCCCGGCTAACTGGGACTATTGTAACAGGCACATGCCATCACACCCAGCTAATTTATTATTATTACTAATTGTAGAGATGGGGTTTCCCCATGTTTCCTGGGCTGGTTTCTAATTCCTGAACTCAAGTGACCTGTTCACCTTGGCCTCCCAAAATGCTTGGATTGCAGGAGTGAGCTACCACACCTAGCCTAAATTTCTTCTTGATTGACATTTCCATAATTATCTGATGTTAGTAACGTTGGATTATCTGGAAAGCAGTGCCACTGGTGAAATTCAGGCATTTCAAACACATTTACCGGGATTTAATCACCTCTGTATTTTTTATTTTCTTTTTTTTTTAAAGAGAGGCTTCCTAATATTAAAAAATAATATTAACAAAGGGTCAGAGAAAAAAGTACCTGATTTCGTACTACTGGTCCTATTTAAAACTAGATTTAGCTTTATTTTCACCTTCAATATTGCTTATAGGAAGTAAATGTCAAGTTTTGAATCAAAATCATCACCAGTAATTTTACCTGATTAAGTGCCTAAGATTTTGGACTTAATAATTTGCAAATATTTAATCAGACAGCATTAAACAAATAGGAAGATCTAAGGGATAGGCACAACTGGGAAATCATTACCCATTTATTCCAGATAGTAGATTTCCGAAATTCTGTTGACAAACTGCCTAGTCATTTCAGAAACTGAGTCCATTTTTCTGCTAGCCTGGGTAAGACTCTTAATTATAAATTATGCTTTGTATGGTCCAATCATTCTGCTGTCCTTCACAAAAAGTCCAGTTTCAATGAAATGTTTGTGCTTTGAAAGAGAAGTATTTGCTTGCCACCACTGCATCTGGGCAATAATATTGGGCGACACACACACACACACACACACACACACACACACTCTTTTTATGGTTAACGAAAAAATAACTTTAAAAAGAGACGAGAAACAAAACCAGATGAGCATGTAAAAAAAAGTAAAAGCAAACAAAAACTCAACCTTCTTCCCTGAGAAAATTACCCCTGAAAGACAGGGAGTAGATGAAACAACATTCATGTCTGCTGCTCTATATTCATTTTGGAGGCGAAAGATACCTAAGCCAAACCTGGGTGGAAGAGGGACAAACCCGGGTTTTAGGACCCTTGTATGGAGGTACCAGCACTTTCAAGCTTCTTTAGTTTCCTGTCTTGACAAAACAGGAAATACCTCAATGAATGGTTAACTCCCCGCCAAACTCAAGTCCTTTCCATTTTGGTTCTCCTAAACCCTTATGTGGATGTCTGTAAACCCGGCTATACTTTCGGCTTGTAAAAACAGTCCGTTTCCCGAGGAGCCAGACGCAGGACGACAGAGCAAGGGGCGAGCAAGGGCAACTCTTCACGTTGCAGCGTCCGCGCCACGTAAGTTCGCTCCTAAGCTTTACCTTTCAAATATATTGGGTTAAAGAGCAATCGACAACGAATTCCCAAGCGCAGACTCCACACGGGGAGGGTTGAGACTTCACACTGGCGGGGGAACCTCTCGGGGAAGTCGGTTGCTGCTTGAACCCCTGAGTGCTTTGCTCCGGTGGCGGGGGGCGGGGGCGCTCAGCGCCTTCACGTGGTCCTCAGGCGGCGACTGGGCGACGGCGTCTCCAGAATGCCCTGCTCCTCCTCGGGCTTCCTCCCAGAGCTGCGGCGAAGATCCTTACTTGGGTCACGGAGGAGTGGGGTCTGAAGTCCTTGCTCCCCGAATCATGGGGTCGCTTCCTCTCTCTTCCGTTCTGCAGCATTTCCCGGCTGCCCTCTGCCGGGACACTGGGGAAACAGAAGATCCTTGCCACTGACTATTTAAATCCTTAATAGTGATGACTCTATTTTTGTATGAGCCACAGTTAGCATTCCAGCGATGCTACAGAGCATTATGTGGAATTTCAGACTCACTCTCACTCATCAACTGTTTAAAATAAGTTTAAGATTTAATCATGTTTGATTATCATGCTGTTTTTAATACGTAGCCCAGGCAAGAAGTACATCAGAATAACATGAGGTACTGCTTGAAACAGGGTCCCAAGCATTTTTAATCATCACTCCAGATAACTGTCCTGTATTTTGAGAGAGAGCTGCATTCTTTATCTTTCGTTTCTTCTTTCATGATTGTTCCCCTATCCAGCCTGCTCCTGCTTTTACCAATTCACTAAATCTATCTTCATCAATATCAATCAATGATCAGTTTCATTTTGTGTCTTTTCGCAGGCCTTCCCCGACTACCCTTCATATACATTCAAATCTCAAAACACCATATCCCTATTCCCTCTGCTCATTTTCTCCTGAGAAATACCATCATCTAGTATATATACACATTTTTTTGCTTGTTTTATTAATTTTCTGTCGCCCACTACAATAGAGCTCAAAGAGGCAGGATTCTGTATCAATTCTGTTCCTTGCTTGATACTGAGAACTTAAAATGGTGTTTATTAGCACATGGTAGGTACTCAATACTATTTATTAAATTATGAGAGAGCAAATTCTTCTGGAATGCCTGGAATCTTTTCTAACCACTCATCTCCGTTATGTAACATGCTGCCCCCACTTATTCCAAGAGTTTACTTTACCTGGGGCTCTGTCATCAGTGCCTTGATTTTCCTATTCTATTTTATGCATCACCTTGACAGGGCATTTTTAGCGTTCTTGTAAGAATCATAAATAATGTACATAAAGCATCTGTACTAGTCCTTGACATGCTAAACCAAATATTTTTCCATTAGAAACATACAAAATGTAGAAATTTGATATACCATCCCAAAGCAGAAAACTGATTTGTATGTGCCTTGGGTAGCCCTTAGAGATGACTTCAAGATCTTGTATTTCACTGACTGTTTTCTTCTCGGTTACAGGTTACCCAGAATCTGAATCCATCATGATGGCCCCCATTTGTCTAGTGGAAAACCAGAAAGAGCAGCTGACAGTAAATTCAAAGGCATTACAGATTCTTGACAAGATTTCACAGCCTGTGGTGGTGGTGGCCATTGCAGGGATATACCGTACAGGAAAATCCTGTCTCATGAATCGTCTTGCAGGAAAGAACCACGGTGAGTGTGGCCCTGGGACAGGAGCCATTTACTTGGAACCAGTGATAACATAGCTGATCACCTCCTCTAGGGTCATCCTAAAGAAGGGCATGACTTCTCCCAGTGAAGAAAACTTCTAATTCTCTCACCACTAAATTTACAATCTCAACCGTGTGTGTGTGTGTGTGTGTGTGTGTGTGTGTATCACTCTTTTGTCCAATAGTAAAGAACCATCTGAACCCTATCAAAAGATCCATTCCATGGGTCTTCTTGATCCCATCTACGCTCACCTCTTCGGTGGCTCAGCTCCAGCAATTATTTCCTTTCTTTCTCATTCATCACTTTTGGGTAGGGTACCTGGCCACTTCAAATAGCACACAAATATAGTGTAATAGACCCTGTTTTAAAAAAAATAAGAAGGACAGGCAGTATAATTCTTGAGTATCCTCTATTTAAATTGGGCTACCATCCAATTTCTTGCTTCATTTCATAGCAGAACTTTGATAAATTATACTCCCTTCTATTTAGTCTTTCTAATATGTGAACTATGACACACAGAGAAGAGTATGCACAGCATACTTGTACAGTGAAGTTAATAAAGTGAATACGTGGGTAATCACTCTTCAGATCAAGATGTAAAACGTTCGTAAACATCCAAAAATCACACACTGTCATCCCTTCTTTAGAGCTCACCAATACTTTTGTTTTCAGGGCACATTTCTTTGACTCTTGGTTTTAAAAAACGTTTCTGTGTAATATATATGCTTTCTGAAAAATAGTTTAGTTTGGTCTGCTTTTAAACTTTACATAAAGAAATTTATATTGTGTGTATTCTTGGATGTCTTGTTCCTTTGCTCAATAAGAAGTGCATAAGGTTTCTCCAGTTACCATGTGTACCCATTTTTTATACCCTCAGACAGTAGCCACTACCTAAGGACAATATATCTATTTGTTGTTGAACATTGATATTTTTCCAGTTTTTATCTTTAAGACTGTCATTAATACTCTATTATTTATATCCATTAACACTCTGTTACTTATGTTTATATCCTGTTGAACATTGGTAGTTTTCCAGTTTTTATCTTTAATGAATAAGTTTGTTGTTAATACTCTATTATTTATATCCTCTATTAATAATAATATTAATAATAGAAGATATATATATTATATATATTGTATATTATTAATAATAGAGGATATAAATAATAGAGTATTAATGACAACCATATTCATTGCCATTAATGAATATTAATAAAATATTAATGAATATTGTTATTAATGAATATATAAATAACAGAGTATTATTAATACTATATGTATATTTATCTATCTATATCTATATATCTATATCTCTATATATTTAATATATAGATATAAATATATAAATAGAATATTATTATAAATACTCTATCTAATATAATAATGTAATATAGAAATAATAGAGTATTATTAATACTCTATTTATATATTTATACATTTATATTTATATATTAAAACTTCCCTTGTGTAATATGCTCAGAAGTGGAATTTCTGAATCAAAGAGTAGGTAAAATTTCTAGATAAAGTCAAATAGCTTTAAAAAAAATTTTTTTTTTGAGACAGTCTCGCACTGTCACCAGGCACTAGGCTGGAGTGCAGTGGCACGATCTCGACTCACTGCAACCTCTGCTCCCAGGTTCAAGCAAGTGAGTGTCCTGCCTCAGCCTCCCGAGTAGCTGGGGTGGGTGCCACCACGCACAGCTAATTTTTGTATTTTTTAGTAGAGACAAGGTTTCAGCATGTTGGCCAGGATGTTCTCGATCTCTTGACCTCGTGATGCACCCGCCTCGGCCTCCTAAAGTGCTGGGATTACAGGCGTAAGCCACTGTGCCTGGCCAGTTTTTCAAAACATAAATGCAATTTAGATGCTTATTGGCAGTGATTGAGAATTTTACATCCTGCAAGAAATTCAATAACATAAAGCCTTTTAATTTGTACTGACATGTTGAATGTATTGTTACGTTATTTATTTCGCATGTTATTTCTTTCACTGTGAATAAGGACCTTTTCACATATTAGTGGCAATTTTCATTTCTAATTTTTTGAAGGCTTTAAAAAATTGTTTTTGATACCAGTTTTCTCTTTTGGTTCTTATTGACTTTTAACACCATCTGCCTATGACTCTGTTAGGTGCTCCGGTTTTTAAAGACCATGCAGCCATTTCTTCCCCCTAATGTCCTACTTCCTCTTTGGCTCAGCAGCTTGGCACCATTGGGGACTGAACCTCTGTCTACTAAACAAGTTCAAGAAAGAAAACAAGTTTGAGAAAATTCTTAATACATGTAAAGGTGGGATTAGTTGTCCTGGCTGAGATGGAAACAGCCCTTTCCCCTGCCAGCCACTTAAACATTCCTACAAGTTGAACCAATGTAAGCTTGGGACATCCTGGTCTATCCACTGTTACTGTTTGTTATTTTTCCTCTTCCCCACAGGCTTCCCTCTGGGATCCACTGTGCGGTCTGAAACCAAGGGCATCTGGATGTGGTGTGTGCCCCACCCTTCCAAGCCAGACCACACCCTGGTCCTTCTGGACACTGAGGGCCTGGGCGATGTGGAAAAGGTAAGGCAGAGAATCACTGCTCATGGTTGTTCTCTTGTCTTTTAATTTTTCATCTCCATTCAACTTCTGTATATATTTCTGTAAACTCGAATCTAATCGAATAATGAAGCTAAATTCTGTTTTCTAAAACTTCCTTATTAATTTCAAATACTGGGGCATATATAAGAATAGATCTTATTTAACACTGGGTTGAAAGATATAATTTAAGAAATATATATTGAAGAGATGAATTCTAGGGCTCTGTACTGAGTTCTACAGGTATGACATTAAACAAGGTAAAGGCCAAGAGCCTAGTTGTGAAGACGAGAAATATGGGGTGTGATCAGTACAGAGTTTCACAGATGCAAAAAGTGAGAAACTAGTTCAGTCATTCAACTAAGAGAGAGCTTCTTGGAGAAAGCTATAACCCATGGGACTGATGGGATCTACTATTTAAGACATGCGGAGTTGGAGGAGGGGACCATGTAAAAATAGGGCTTTACTGAAGGAGTCTATTTCAGTAATTTTCAGAAAAGCATTAATTTTATCCTTAACATTTTGGTCCAACTCCCTGAACTTTGGAGATGAATTCTGCATGGACTTCGTTAACAGCATGAATTAGACCCACAAAGAATATTGTAAGTGAGATAATTTTAGTTACTTTGTCTTAAAGTGTTAGGTGCAATCCGTCAATTCTCCTTATTTGAATTAGTCTCAGTCTAAATTGAAAGTAGCAGCAGCAGATCTTTGGCTTCCATTATGGGAAAAGAGCATGGAAGTGGGGGTAAGGAAGCACAGACTTAGCAATATGAACTTTAAATTTCAGTATTAAAAGTCTGAATTACTCTCTTAGTATAATACCAAAGTGAAACATTTATTCTTAATATACTGTAGTTTTAATAAACTCCTTTTTATCTAATTGCATTTGTCAAGAGATCAGAACATGTCGAAATGTTGACTGATGGCAGCAGCAGAACTACTCGCTGACCTTGGAACTTGTAATGTGATTTGGGTACCATCTAATTGGTGGGAGTGTAAACTAGTTCAACCATTGTGGAAGACACTGTGGCCATTCCTCAAGGATCTAGAAATAGAAATACCATTTGACCCAGCAATCCCATTATTGGGTATACACCCAAAGGGTTATAAATTGTTCTACTATAAAAACACATGCACACATATCTTTATTGTGGCACTGTTCACAATAGCAAAGACTTGGACCCAACCCAAATGCCCATCAATGATAGACTGGATAAAGAAAATGTGGCACATTTACACCATGGAATACTATGCAGCCATTAAAAAGGATGAGTTCATGTCCTTTGCAAGGACATGATCATTCTCAGCAAACTGACACAAGAACAGAAACCAAACACCACATATTTGAGAACACATGGACACAGGGATGTGAACATCATATACTGCGGTCTGTTGGGTGGTGGGGAGCTAGGGGAGGAATAGCAGGGGGTGGGGATATAGGGGAGGGATAACATTAAGAGAAATAGCTAATGTAGATGAGGGAGTAGTGGGTGCAGCAAATCACCATGGCACCCGTATACCCATCTAACAAACCTGCATGTTCTGTGCATGCACCCCAGAACTTAAAGTGTAATACAAAAAAGAAGTTCACACACACACAAAGTCCTTTCATGTCTTACCATGAATCTTGTTTCCAGCCCCCTCTTCCACTCCAGCATGCATACTTACTGCTTCAAGCAAGAGAAATAACGTGTAATACCTTTTTATGACCATGCTCTGACAATTCTGACTTGATCTTTCCATCTGTGTTATTCCTTCTTCTTCACAAGTCCACACTCTATCAACTCTTGAAGTGCAGCTATTTTCAAACTGCTGCAAGCATGTGCCTGTCACACATGATCATTTCTCGTTCCTGAATCCACAGAGTAACTGTTCACATTTATGTACCTCCTCCTCCTTTCTTTCTTTCTTATACTTTATAACTTTGGGTTTTACTCCCCTAGCAGCGATTATTCTTCTGATTGAATTTGTATATTGACATGTATGTCTGTTGCTCCAGAAAGTCATCTTCTTGAGGGCAGGGACTGTCATGAAGAACTTTATAGCCACAAAACCAAATACGGGTCTGCATTTTGTGAGAAGCACAATGAATAGTTTTTTAACTTAACTGAATAGCATTTGAGACCTTAATATGCCATGAGTGAGAACAAAATGCAGTGGAATAATTGCATGCTGATTGCTTGACACTTATTATATTCTAGGCACTTTATTGAAATTTTAATCACAATATCATTCCTTTCTGTTAGTAGCTAAATGAACTTACAGCCTGAGAAGGATTAATGTAAAATCTAAATATGAAGTTTGAATTTAACATTGCCTTCAAAATTTATTCATCCTAGTTTTCAACTGTTGTACAGCTAAAATAGCTAATGAACAACCAAATGAATGAATAAAGAGAATACTCCAAGTCCTTTGCGTTATATTCTTTCTAGGGTAACCCAAAGAATGACTCGTGGATCTTTACCCTGGCTGTGCTTCTAAGCAGCTGCTTTGTCTACAACAGCATGAGCACCATCAACCACCAGGCTCTGGAGCAGCTGCAGTATCCTTCCGGGAAGTGAAGAGCCAGGTTTTATGGAGTTTAGGGAAATGGAAACTGAAACTGTGTCTTCTTTGCTGTGACCCAGTTGTCCTGGTTGAGTAAGAAGAGACACAGTGCAAAAGGGAATGTTTATCAAACTTGTTTCTAAGTGAGATGTTGAAATAATGGTGTAGGGTGTTACTCCTTAGCTAAGATCCCAGCTATGTGACTGAATTAACAGAGTTAATCAGGGCAAAATCCTGCCCCAGGACTGATGAAGTTGAGGACTCCAGCGAGTTTGTGAGTTTCTTTCCAGACTTTATTTGGACTGTTCGAGATTTTACCCTGGAGCTGAAGTTAGATGGACACCCCATCACAGAAGACGAGTACCTGGAGAATGCCTTGAAGCTGATTCCAGGTATCAGAGCATGGCCTGGATGGGGGAAGGTCCAGTAGTGGGTGGGATCAACTAAGACCTGCCATTCAGCACCTGACGCAAATGTTCATATTAGACTGGATTGAGGCCCATACTCATGGTGGTTGGTGATTGACAAGTGATTATGATTCTTGTGGTTATTTTTACTTGAAATTTCCCAGAGGCTGAAGTTTAAATTCATTAAAGAAATTTAAAACTTAAAATTCTGTCAAACGATTTTAGACCAATAAGTACCATGAAAAATACATTGAGGATTATAATTAATATTATCACATCCCAAGACTCATATATTTGTGTTATTTATTAACTTTAAGTGCTCCTTTTATTCTATTTGGAAAAAATTAATAATTTGGAAGTTGTTAAACACAGAATCACAAGAAGTCTAATGATCTAATTTTGGAAATATGTTTCACTCTGTCTATTTTATTAGCCTGAGTAGTTACATCCTTTAGAGAAAAATGAGATTTTTTTTTTTTTGGAAAAAGAGAAAAAGAAGGGGAAAAAAAGAAAAAGAGGGAAAAAGGAATATTACTTCATTCCTAAAATGGGTTTCAATAATGGCCGATCAATATTTTGAGTGTTTAAAGTGGTTAATGCATATTTTATGTGTTTAAAATGGAGAACTCTATTGTGTTTATTTGTTCTGGCTCTGAGTTCAAGTCCTGGATATCGTTATCAATTTGTTGTCTCGTTGAATCTAAATCTCATTATGTGTCTTATGTATCTGGGTGTTAAGATCTCTTATTGTTACATTAATCCTTTTACCCTTGCATCCTTGTAGCTTTGAGATCTATTTTATTAAGTGTGAGAATTTCAACTCCTGCTTTTTATTTATTTATTTTTGCTCTCCATTTAGTTGGTGAGTTTTTTTCCATCCCTTTGTTTTGAGTCTTTGTATATCTTTAGATATATCGTTAGATTTTGTGGATAATGTATATTTTGTGTGTTTAAAATGGAGAGCTCTATTGAGTTTATTTGTTCTGGATGTTAGTTCCAGTCCCGGATATCGTTATCAATTTTCTGTCTCGTTGAATCTAAATCTCATTATGGGTCTTATGTATCTGGGTGTTAAGATCTCTTATTATTACATTAATCCTTTTACCCTTGTATCCTTGTAGCTTTCAAATCTATTTTGTCAAATGTGAAAATTGCAACTCCTGCTTTTTATTTATTTATTTTTGCTCTCCATTTGGTTGGTACATTTTTTTTTTCCAACCCTTTATTTTGAGTCTATGTATATCTTTGGATATACCGTTAGATTTTGTCTGTATCTTTTGATTGGGAGATTTGGTCGATTTAAATTTAGGGTTGCTGCCATTTGATATTAACTGGCTATTTTGTCCTTTCGTTGATAAAAATTCTTCTTTATGTTAATGCTCTTTACTTTTTGGTGTATTTTTAGAAAAGGTCATACTGGTTGTTCCTTTCTGTGTATAATGCTTCTTTTAGAAGTTCTTGTAAAGCAGGCCTGGTAGTAATAAAATCTCTGAGTACTTGCTTGTTCCTAAAAGATTTTATTTTTCCTTCAAATGTAAAGCTTAAATTGGCAGGATATGAAATTCTGGGCTGAAAGTTTTGTTGATTAAGTATATTGAATATTGCCCCCACTCTCTTCTAGCTTGTAGGGTTTCCGTTGAGAGATCTGCTGTAAGCCTAATAGGCTTACCTTTATGGGTAACTTGATCTTTCTCTCTGGCTGCCCTTAATATTTTCTCCTTTGTTTTGATCCTGGTGAATCTAACGATTATGTGCCTTGGGGTTGGTCTTCTTGAGGAATATCTTTGTGGTGTTCTCTGTATTGCCTGGGGTTGAATAGTGTCCTGCTTTGCTAAATTAGGAAAATTTTCCTGGATAATGTCCTGGAGAGTATTTTCCAGCTTGAATTCATTCTCTCCGTCACATTCAGGTACACCAATCAAGCGTATATTAGGTCTTTTCACATAGTCCCATATTGCTTGGAGACTTTGCTCATTCCTTTTTATCCTTTTTTCTCTATTCTTGTCTTGTCGTTTTGTTTCATTAAGTCGGTCTTCGACCTCTGATACCTTTTCTTCTGCTTGATCCATTCGGCTGTTTAAGCTTGTACATATTTCACTAAGTTCTCGTGTTGTATTTTTCAACTCCATAAGTTCATTTGTATTCCTCTCTATATTGTCTATTCTTTTCAACATTTCATCTAACCTTTTTTCCAAGTTCTTAGTTTCTTTACATTGGGTTAGAACAAGTTCCTTTAACTCCCAGAAGTTCCTTATCATCCACCTTTTAAAGCCTACTTCAGATAATGGAACACAGTCCTTTTCCATCAGGGCTTGTTCCATTGCTGATGAGTCCTTTTCCATCAGGGCTTGTTCCGTTGCTGATGAGTCCTTTTCCATCAGGGCTTGTTCCGTTGCTGATGGGTTCTGATTTTGAGTATACTCGGCCTTCTTAGGCTGTTTTTTTCCCTTCATGGTAGATGACCCGTCTTTCTAATTAGGTTTCTGAGTCGACGTCCGACTTATTGATTCCCAGTGCTGGGATCCGAGCAACCCACTGTGGCGGCCTAAATAGCAGCGATAAGACTGATGGTGCTCTTCTGCCCGGGAATCTCTGGTCTGGTTTCCCTCTTGAGTCCACAACAAGCGGCTCTGACTTCCCGGAGCTCCAAACTCCGGTCAGTAGGGGAAGCAGTCCCGTTGGCTCTGCATGAAGAGCTGCTGCGCCGAGACGCCGGCAAAACCGCTGCGGCGGCCACGAGAGTCGCTCTGGCAACCCGTGGGGATCCTCCACTGGGAATCGGCTGACCCGTGAGTGATGAAAATTCGTCTAAAAGTGTGGCGTCGTCTCGTTCTCTGAGCTTTCACTGGGAGCTACAATCCCGAGGTGTTAGTGGTCAGCCATCTTGGATCGATCGATTTATACAGTAAATGATTCAGGCAATTAGAAAAATACACTGACATATGCTTCCAGTACCACTTCATTTCACGTTTTCATAACATCACCTACTTCATTGTACAGACTCACACAATAGATTGTCTATTATACACTTGTTAAACAGGTGGTATTTAGCAGAGTGTATGCCGGTTGGCACCTACAATCAATATCCATCTTTGTTCAGTATTCATCCTTTCATCAAAAGTTTATTTTGAATAATCTATAAATGCCCCAGAATCCCTCTGCAAGACAATGTCAGACCTAATATAATCTGACATTGAAAAGTGGCAAGGTCTCCAAGTTACATCTGGCTTAACTTTAGACTGTTCAGATAAAGAAGTGTCTAAACATATTTACGGTGTTTATAATTTGGGGTTCTGATTTTCAAATATTTTTTACTTTTATTACTGTCTTGGTGATCATTCACCTTCTTCATGATGTTTTTCTTAGCAACATCTTATCCTTTTTTCTACCGTTACTTCAATTTAGGGCCCATGTTTCACTTCTGACACAGGACTGCAATATCAGTAAAATATTTCTGAGAGATCTTTTCTTTAGTTAATCATTCAAAAACATTTAATAAATAGTCTACCAGCTACCATACAAAGGCCAAGGAAACCAGTCATAAGTTTCTTCATCTTGCGATAGATGTCTTCCCTTCCTCTCCAGTTCTTTCCTGACTCTCGGTCCTGTACAAAAATGGATTTTCCATGCCTTGGTTGGATTAGCACAAGGCTGTTTTGTGTGATTCCATACAACAAAATTTACAAGGCAGAGGAGCTGTGGGGATGCAGACAGGCTCCTCGACTGCAGGCTGTCTCTTCAATGAGCATTCTTCTTTATAATTCCACAGGCACGAATCCCAAACTTCAAAATTCTAACATGTCTAGAGAGTGTATCAGGCATTTCTTTCCAAAACGGAAGTGCTTTGTCTTTGACCGGCCTGCAAATGACAAACGATATTTAATTCATATGGACAAGTTGCCAGAAGAAAATCTGGAACGGCTTTTCCTGAGGCAATCAGAAAACTTCTGTTCTTATATCTTCACCCATGCAAAGCCCAAGACTCTGAGAGAGGGAATCATTGTCACTGGAAACCGTGAGTCTTCTTTGTGGCAAAGCATGTCTGTGGTCCAGGGTATGTTGAAGCTGTCGTGATTCTGCAAGTTTGTCAATAATATTGTTTACTTCTGTATAGGAATGCAGGCAGACCATGCCACACATAGAAATGAATGTTTCTTAATTAAGGTTTACTCATAGAGAATTTATTGAGGCCTAATATATCTCACAAAATTAATACACTAATGGCATAAACACAAACTTCTGAGGAGAGAAATGTACATGATGAGGAGAAGTCCTATAGGGTTAGTGTTTCTCAGTGAGGATATATAATATATTTTATAAATTTACATTAGTCAAGAAACCAACGTCAGGCCATGAGTTCCATGGAAGCTTATTGAGAGTTAGAGAAACAAATTTAAATGTTATATTAAGTATGGGGCTGGCTTAATGGCATGAAACCAGCCATTAAGAGTTTATGGAGTCATCCACTCCTCATGGTGAGATGGGTCCATGCTTGATTCAATAGTCTATGTTGCTGTCTCCAAATAAAAATGCAAGTTCCCTTGTAAAGAATATCTAATGAAATGAGGGGACTTGCATTTTTATTTGGAAGTAAGACTCACAAATAATATAACTCAGCTTCCCTGCCTAACAAACTCATTTATATGGCATTTAAATAGAAATGTACTTTTCCATAAAACACGGAGACATGTTGCTTGCAATGAGTAATTTAATTTTGTAATGTGAATCCAAGAGCCATATAAAACAGAAAATAGGAAAAATAGGGATGTTATTATGAATTCCTCAAGAAACTCCTAGAGGAAGATGAAAAAGAAGGAGAGAAAGAATAAAGAGGAGGGGGAGGAAACGTCAAGATAATTAGAACTTTTGTAATTTTTAGAATGCTGATTCCTAAAACGTGTATAAATAATGAGTGAGAACTATAAATTTTCCTTAAATATATGTGATTCAGGGCTGGGGACTCTGGTGGTGACCTATGTAGACACCATCCACAGTGGAGCAGTGCCTTGTCTGGAGAACACAGTGACAACTCTGGCCCAGCTTGAGAACTCAGCTGCTGTGCAGAGGGCAGCCGACCACTACAGCCAGCAGATGGCCCAGAGAGTGAGGTTCCCCACAGACACACTCCAGGAGCTGCTGGATGTGCACGCGGCCTGTGAGAGGGAAGCAATTGCAGTCTTCATGGAGCACTCCTTCAAGGATGAAAACCAGGAATTCCAGGGGAAGCTTGTGGTACTTTTAGCATTTATCCTTTCTGATTTCAGCTCTTCTGAAATAATGCGTAAAGTCCACTTTTTTAACCCCATGGTTCATCTCCTTACCATTGTGGAAAGAATATGGTTTCTTGTGAATAATAGGGCTCTATGGGCTAGAGGCCACACTTCTAGAGGATGGTCACTTTATTTTTCTATTCCTGCAAAATAAATTATCATGAGTTTAGCAGTATAAAACAACACACGTTATTAGATCATAGTTCTGTAGGTCAGAAGTCCTTGTCAGGGTGTCTGGGTACTCTGTTCAGTGTGCCACAGGCTGAACACAATGTTAAATGGGCTTAGATTTCATCTAGCGGCTCTGGGTAAGCCCATCCATCTTCAAGTCCGCAATGATGCATCAAATCCTTCTGTTTCTAATTGCCCTGAATTCCTCTTCTCACACCAGCTAGAGAAAACCACTTTTAAGGGGCTTATGTGATTAGGTCATGCCCAATAGGGCACACTCCATTTCTTAACGTCATCTTTTCCTACATAACATAATCTAATCACAGGGTTATTCACATTTATAGGCCCAGGAACTATGCAGGTGTGGATACCGAGGAGTGAGAAATCTTATGGGACATCTTAAATCTATTTACCATAGTCATGTGTACTGGAAGTTTGTCTTTCGGTCTGTCTCAGACTAACCTAAAAGAAACAATAATCTCTTAATTCATAATGATAAAATCCAACTGGACTGTACCTTACAAATATAAGCAAAAGAAAATTCTCTTCCTGTATCCTCACATATTCAAACTCTTATTGAAGGAAGACAAAGGTGGTTCATTTTTCTCATCAGAATATACTTAATTCATTACTGGGGAGTTGATTTGCCATGCCAATATTTTTATATATAGCAACCTATGTTTTCTGGGGAAATTTTTCTTCCAGCCAAAATTCAACTTTTTATTGCTCATGGTCGGGAGGTTTGGTCCCTGTTAATCATACTATAACTGAAAGAACTATAGAGTTTGTGACCTCTAACTACACAAATTTGCAGATATTGTGCCTGAGCCCTGGGGAGTTAAGGGGCTTTCCATAGGTCACACAGATAAATGATCAGATAGTTGGGAACAAAACAAATCGTCTGACTCTTGGTCTACACCATACTCCAGTTCACTCTGAGGCCTTCAGACTACTCCTTCCAAGAGGATCACATTTGGACCTTCCCTTCTAACACCTTCTTTCTCCTGTTGTTCCCTACCTTTCTCTGGCAGGACACCATAGAGAAAAAGAAGGAAGACTTTGTGCTGCAGAATGAAGAGGCATCTGTCAAATATTGCCAGGCTGAGCTTAAGCGGCTTTCAGAGCACCTGACGGAAAGCATTTTGAGAGGAATTTTCTCTGTTCCTGGAGGGCACAATCTCTACTTAGAAGAAAAGAAACAGGTTGAGCAGAACTATAAGCTAGTGCCCTGCAAAGGAGTTAAGGTGAGGAATAAGGGGAGTGGGCGATGAATAACAGAGGCTAATCAGAGGGTCTTTGTTGCCCCTCCTGAAAATCTAAGAACATAGCACTGCATGTGGAGAGGAAGCAGAACATGATGCTATCTTGGCATTTTTAGTATTCAAATCCGCAATTAGTTAGATACTCTTATAGAAACATTTCTTCTCCAAGAGGATTTAACATCAGGAATCCAGATGAAACAACTCACTTCTTATATTTATTAAGGGGATAGTTTTTGTGCTAAGTACAGAGGATACCTTATGAAGCAAACAACTTTGTTTTCTGAAGCATATTGTCTTACCTGAGATGAACAAATTAATACTCGACTGGCTATGGTACCATTATGGTTATCATATTGGTATGTACTAATATGATGATGATGATGATCAACAGAATGGTTCACACACACTGAGCATTTACTTCCTACGTCAGAGGAAGTGATTTTGTTGGATTATCGGTTTGATTCTCAGAATAATGTAAATTAGGTACCACTGTCTTCCACAGAGCCAGTTGAGAAATGTACTGCACAGAGAGGTTAATAAGGTGCCTAAGACAATGCGGCCAGCAAGAGATGGAGCTGACAGGGCTGACCTATGTACTTGACAGCCATTGGAAATTTTGAGGAAATTTTTGTCCTATGTTCCATGAGGACTATACCAACTTACGTTCCTACCAACAGTTTCTAAGAATTCCCTTTTCTCCATATCTTTGCCAACATTTGGTATCTTTTGACTTTTGGATAATGATCATTCTAAAATGTGTGAGATAAAATGTCACTGTGGTTTTGATTTGCATTTCCCTGATGATTAGTGATGCTGCCCATGCTTTCGCATACCTATTGTCCAGGTCTTCTTTTCACAAATGTCTATTTAGGTTCCTTGCTCATTTTTAATAGGTTTATTGGTTTATTTTGCTATTTAGGTATATGACTTCCTATTGCATTTTAGATATTAACCCCTTATCATATTTGCAAGTGTTTTCTTTCATTCTGTATGGAAGAAAATTCTTTTACATTTTATTGTTTTCTTTGCTCTGCAGAAATTTTTAATTTCATGTAGTCCTACTTATTTTTGCACTTGTTGTCTGTGCTTTTGATGTCAGATTCAAAAACCTGCTGCCAAGCTAATATCAAGAAGCATTTTGCCTCTGTTTTCTTCTTGGAGTTTTATGGAATCTGGTCTTAGGGTTAAATCTTTAATCTGTTTTTAGTTGATTTTTCTGTAAAGTGTAAGATAAGGCTCCAGTTTTATTATTTTGAATATCCAGATTTCCATGCACCATTTGTCAAAGAGACTATCCTTTCTTTATGTGTACTCGTGTCACATTTGCTGAAAATTATTTGATCGTATATATGTAAATTTCCTCCCTGGCTGTCTGTTCTGATCGCTTGGTTTGTTTATCTGTTTTTATGCCAATACTATGCTAGTTGATTACTGTAGCTTTGTAACAGATTATGAAATAAGGTAATTCAATACCTCCAACTTTGTTTTGGTCACTCAAGATGGCTGTAACTATTCAGGATATTTTTTGTTTCTATATAAATTTGAGAATTGGTTTTCTTATTTCTTTGAAAAATTCACTGGAAATTTGATAGAGGTTGCATTAAATCTATAGATAATTTGGGGTAGTATGGACATCTCAACAATATTATATTTCTTCCAATTAATGAACATGGGATATCTATTTATTTTATATTTTCTTTAACTTCTTAAACATTTTATAGTTTGCAGTGTACACATCTTTCACCTCGTTGGTTAAATTTATTTATAAGTATTTTATATCTTATGTTGTTATAAATGTAATTTTCTCAATTTTCATATAATATTTTATTAGTATATGGAAATGCAACTGATTTTGTATGTTAAATTTGCATCCTGCAACTTTAGTCAACTTAGTTTTAACAGCTTTTGGCGGACTTGTGCTATATTTCCAAAAGAAATAAAATCACAATCCTGAAGAGAGATTTGTACTTCTATTCATTCCAGCATTATTCATAATAGCAAGATATAAAACACCTTTATATTTATATATGTATATATATATATATTATACATATATATAGATATAATTGCACTTTAGGTTCTGGGGCACATTCGCAGAACATGCAGGATTGTTGCATCGGTACATTCATGGCAATGTGGTTTGCTGCCTCCATCCCCCCGTTGTCTATATCTTGCATTTCTCCCCATGTTATCCCTCCCTAACTTCCCTACCCCCCATTTTCCCTCACCTATTTCTCCATAAAAACAACTTTTGTTTATCCACAGATAAATACATGTAAAACTGTGGCACACACAAACACACATATATAATAAAATATTATTCAGCCTTAAAAAGAAGGAAATCCTGACACTTGTGGAAACATCAATGAACCTGCAGGAATTTAGAATTAGTGAAAGAAGCCAGACTCAGAAAGACAATTATGAAGTGACTCATGTTTATGTGAATGATAAAAAAATGCTGAACTCATGTTAACAGAGAGCTGAATGGAGGTTATCAAGGTCAGAGAGGTGGGGGAAAGAGGACATAATGATTGAAAGTAACTAATACTCGGTTATAATAAACACTTTCTGGATACCTAAGTACAGCATAGTGACTATAGCTAAAAAAAGAATTATACTTGGAATTTGCTAAGAGAGTAGATCTCAAGTGTTCTCAACAAAAGAAAACTCTATGAGATGTTAGATAGGTTAATTGGCTTGGCTGCAGTAATCATTTCACATATATCAAAACATCATGCTGTACAACTTAAATATACACAGTTTCCATTTGTAAATCATTCCTCAATAAAGTAAGAAACAAAACTCAGAATGCACCCTGAAAAAGCTTCCAGGAAGAGTGACTGGGAATGGTAGTTGACGTATCCATAAAGGTTATCCTAGTCATGAAAATGTAGCACAGCTTCCAAACAGAAGAAAAAGATTGTGCAATACTGCAAACAACTGAGAATGTGTGTTTGCAGAACTGCCCATTTATGTTGTCAGGAATTTATGTCTAAATTCCTGCAGGTTCATTGATGTTTCCACAAGTGTCTGTATCCTGGGGTGAGTGGTTAGCAGCATCCCTGGGAAAGGAAGCTGGACAGGTAGGAGGGAGGCTGCTACACATGGTTTTTATGTCTTAAGAAAGAGCTTGGACTTTTTGTTGTGGCTGTGGAAGAAAAGAAATAACTGTGGGATCTTAAGAATTATGTAAAGTTTACAAAGTTAGATTTTTGACTTTATTGAACAATAATTTTGTCATTATAAGTTGAGATCTTTGCTGCCTGACAAGTCTTTGTTTTTTCTTGGCTCCTCAGGCAGACAAGGTCCTCTGGGATTTCCTGCAGTCACAGGTGGTTATAGAGGAATCCATCCTGAAGTCAGACAGAGCCCTCACTGCTGGAGAGAAGGCCATAGCAGGTACAGGGGCAGGGCTCTCAGAGGGGTTGGTAGTTTCCTGCAGTGTCTTCTTGCTGATCATGCTGAAAGATATTCCAGATACAAGGAGCTTCAAAAGTCATAAACACTCAGTTAAAATATTAATAATTTCTGCATACCAAATGTATAGCATAGTTGCTATAGTTAAAAAATTATTGTATACTTGGAATTTGCTTTCTCTTACTATAGTTGAAGGAGCTTCTTCCTACTATGGAACATATACTCTGCTAAATTCCAAAATATCAAGGAGATTGGGGTTGAACCTCCAGGCAGTGTCTTCACATCACATTATTCAACATTGTCTTCCAGACATAGCTAGTGTGGAGAATTCAGAGATTCCCAATCCCTCACTTTTGTGCTTTTCTCTAAGTCAGTTTGATCTGAGCTCGGGAGGGTAAAACTCAGGCATAACTGTTACTTTTTTCCCTCTCTAAAACCTTTGTGGAATAGCGGAGCGGTCCATGAGGGAGGCAGCTGAGAAGGAACAGGAGTTGTTAAGACAAAAACAGGAGGAGCAGCAGCAAATAATGGAGGCTCAACAGAGAAGCTTCCAGGAAAACATAGCCCAACTAGAGAAGAAGATGGAGAGGGAAAGGGAAAACCTCCGCAGAGAGCATGAAAGGATGCTGGAACACAAGCTGAAGGTGAGTCTCAATGAAGCATGGCAGTGCTTGAGGGACAATGCTCTGCTTCTTTAAGAAAGGAAGGACCAAAATTTTAGGCACAGTGATGATCCCAGAAGGAAACACAAAAGTTGTATGTTTTACTAAAATCTCAAATACATCTGAATTGTACTGAAGCCTGAAAGTCTACAAGACTCCAGCATCTTCATGTTAGACTTTGGAGAGTATTCATGACATCCCCCAGGGTATCAGGCTGCTGTATGTGGTGATTATAGGATGGTCTCACTGTCCCCCAATTAAATAGGACCTGAGTCCAACAGTCTTTGGGATTTGGGGCACAACCATCAAATACCTGAAATAGATCAATCTGGATGAAAGTTTCAGATCTGGCTTGATAAGACATGATATTGAAAGATCAGTAATTGCTCCATTTGTTTCTGTATCTGCCTGATTCATCCTATACAACTAGAGTAAAATACATTCCTTGTCCCAACCTGGAGCTTGACAACCAATATATACAGGATCAGCAGTCCCTATTATTTGCTAGATGAGCATGGCCATGCTACATCAGTGGAAATTAGAATTAATGAGAGTTAAACCTGCATTCCCTCTCAAAGGGCATTCTTTGTGCTGGAACAAAATTTCTTCCCACCTCCAGTGAGATGTTGCTTAAGGAATGTCACAAAGGTATAAACCATGTAGACTCCCACTATTACAGTCCAACCACGTGGAAATGTTAAACTCATCAAAAAGTTTTCTAAGATAACAGAGAAATAGACACATATGCTTAACTGTTGAATTTGTTAAACACAAAACTCTCACTCGCTGCAGAAAATTGGGGATTTTCAAACGTGGACTATTCCCCTTTTATAGGAACAAGAAGAAATGTTAATTGAAGGATTTGAAAAGAAATCTGAGGAGTTAAATAAAGAGATTAATCGACTGAAAGAAAAGATTGAAACAGCCAAAAATGAAGAACCCTCAGTGTTTTCAAAGATCTTTGACACAGTTGGCAATGTGATGATTGCAGCTCTACCTGGGGCTGCTAAGCTATTGGGAGTAGGGATGAAATACCTTGGCTCACAGTTTTAAGAGCCTGAATATTCCTGGTAAGAAAATATAACATGAGGTTTATTTTATTTTAATAACATAACACTATTGATCATTTTGTAAGTATATGTGTTATAGAAGTTTCATGCAAGAAAAGTTTAAAATTAAAAAGTGATTATCAAAGAATATCAGGGTCTAACATCCGCAAAAACAAACTTAATTTTGATTGAACTAACAATTTTTAAAACTGGGAAACAAAGGCCGAGCGCTGTGGCTCATGCCTGTAATCCCAGCACTTTGGGAGGCCGAGGCGGGTGGATCACGAGGTCAAGAGATCGAGACCATCCTGGTCAACATGGTGAAACCCCGTCTCTACTAAAAATACAAAAAAAATTAGCTGGGCATGGTGGCGCAAGCCTTAATCCCAGCTGCTCAGGGCTGAGGCGGGAGAATTGCCTGAACCCAGGAGGTGGAAGTTGCTGTGAGCCGAGATCGCGCCATTGCACTCCAGCCTGGGTGACAAGAGCAAAACTCCATCTCAAAACAAAAAACAAAAACAAACAAACAAACAAACAAAAAAACAACTGAAAAACAAGTCAGAAGTAGTGGCATTATTGCTAGAAAAGGTTTAAGTAAAGCAAAAAGGCAACCGGTAAGATTAAGAAGCCATTAATAACTTGCAATTTATATTATATTTACAGAAATAATTTCAGTTATAATTAACTCTTGCAAATTAATGAGAAGGGAGCAACAAACGCCACAATTTTTAAATTTTGTTTTAACTTTTAGATTCAGGGATACATGTGCAGGTTTGTTACAAAGGTAAACTGCATGTCATAGAGGTTTGGTGTGCAGACAATTTTAAAACACAAGTATTAAGCATAGTACCCAACAGGGTTTTTTTCTGATTCTCTCTCTCCTCCCAACCTTCACCCTCATGTAGATACCGGCGTCTCCTATTCTTCTTTTAGAATTTATGTGTTCTCTTTGTTTGGCTTCCATTTAGGAGTGAGAACATGCAGTATTTGGGATTCTGTTACTGTGTTAGTTCACTTATGATAATGACTTCCATGTTGCTACAAAGGGCATGATCTCATTTTTTATGGCTGCATAGTATTCAATGGTGTTTGTATATACCACATTTTTGTTATCCAGCCTACTGTTAATGGGCATTTAGGTTGATTCCATATCTTTGCTATTGTGAATAGTGCTGGAATGAACATACACATGCATGTGCCTTTACGGTCCAATAATTTATATTTCCATGGGAGTATACATTCCTATGGGAGTAATGGGATTGCTGAGTCAAATGGTAATTATAAGTTCTTTGAGGAATCACCAAGCTGCTTTCCATAGTGGCTGAACTAATTTACACTCCCACCAACAGTGTATATGTTCCATTTTCTCTGCAATCTTACCATCATCTGTTATTTTTTGACTTTTTAATAATAGCCATTCTGACTGGTGTAAGATGGTATCACATTGTGGTTTTTGATTTGCATTTCTATAGAGATTAGTGATGTTGAGCATTTTTATATGCTTCTTAAATGCATATATGTCTTATTTTGAAATCTGTCTGTTCATGTTCTTTGCCCACTTTCTTTTTAATGGGGTTGTTTTTGCTTGTAAATTTGTTGAAATTTCTCATAGACTCTGGGTATTAGATCTTAGTTGGGTGCATAGTTAGCAAGTATTTTCTCCCCTTTTATAGGTTGTTTGTTACTTTGTTGATAGTTTTGTTTTACTTTCTTTTTGTTTTTTGAAATAGGGTTGCACTTTACCACCCAGGCTGGAGTACAGTGGCACAAACATGGTGCATTGCAGTCTTAATCTCCCAGGCTCAAGCAGTTCTCTCACCTCAGCCCCCCAAGTTACTAGGTCAACTACAGGTGCTTACCATCACACAGAGTTAATTTTTTGTACTTTTTTGTAGAAATGTGTTTTGCCATCTTGCCCAAACTGGTCTTGAACTACTGAACTCAAGCAATCTGCTTGCTTCAGCCTCCAAAAGTACTGGAATTTAGGCATGAAGCCACATGTAGCCAATAGTTTCTTTTGATGTGCAGAAGCTCTTTCATTTAATTAGATATCATTTGTCAATTTTTGTTTTTGTTGTAATTGCTTTTGTTGTCTTCCTCATGAAATCTTAGCTAAGTCATATGTCCAGAAGGGTATTTCTTAGGTTATTTTCCAGAATTTTTATAGTTTAATGTTGTATATTTAAGTCTTTAATGCATCTTAAGTTGATTTTTGTATGTGATATAAGCTGGGGGTCCAGTTTCAAATTCTGCATATAGCTAGCCAGTAATCCCAGCACTATCTATTAAATGGGGAGTTCTTTCCCCATTGCTTGTTTTTGTCAGCTTTGTCTACGAATAGATGGTTGTAGCTTTACAACATTATTTCTGGACTTTTGTGTTCCATTTACCTATGTGTCTGTTTTTATACTAATACCATGCTGTTTTGGTTACTGTAGCCATGTAGTATAGTTTGAGGTTTGGTAACTTGATGCTTCCCCCTTCGTTCTTTTTAGTTAGGATTGCTTTGGCTATTAGGGCTCTTTTATGGTTCCATATGAATTTTAAGATAGTTTTTCTCTAATTATGTGAAGAATGTCATTGGTAGTTTGATAGGAATAGCATTGAACTTTTGTTCAACTCAACATTTTAGGAATTTGTTTCAGCTATCTAGTGCTCAAGACTTGCAGCTCGAATGAACTCCTTGTAATTCTACAAGATAGGCATATTCTCTTGACTATAGGCCTTTTCACAAGGGACACAGACTTCTTTAAACAGTTCTGCTTCCTCATTCTGTGTCCTTTATTTACCAAGCTGTGCTCCTATTCATGAGCATGGAATGTGTTTCTATTTGCTAGTGACATCTCTGATTTCTTTCAGGAGTATTTTATAATTCGCATTTAGATAAATTTCACCTACCTGGTTAGCTGTATTTTTAGGTATTTTATTCTTTTTGTGGCAATTGTGAATGGGATTGCATTCCTGATTTGGCTCTTGGCTTGAATGTTATTAATACCATATTTTTTAAATAGACAAAAATATGAGAATAAAAATGTTTACTTTTGCTGACAATAAAAATGTTTCAAAGGAAAACTGTGAGGTTCTTATTTCAACTCTATCATGGGCATGGAAGAACAGGACACTGAGCTGGCACAGATTTGGGAAAACTGTCTCATATTAGCTAGTGAGAGTGCGAACTGTTGGTATTATATATCAAAAGTTTAAATTCATGTACATTTTTCTAGCAGTTCTACATTGGGTATTTGTATTGTACATATAAATATAAATAAATATTTAAATATATATGTACATTTATATATAATATTTGAATATCTATTTATTAGTAAATAAATATTTATATTTAGTAAATATATATTTATATTTGGTAAATAAATATATATATATATAAATCTGTCACTTACCGATGAGGCAAATTTTGGGACATACTTTCAAAGGAATATTCTATAGTCACTAAAATGAAAAAGGTCTATTTGTACTAGTATGAGAAAATATCCAAGATATACCATTAGTAAAAAAAAAAAAAAAAGATGCAGAAAGTATGATGCTATCACTTACTTTAGGAATTAATGAATATGTATGTACCTTCTTAGCTCCCTCTGAAAAAATAAAAAATATACTAGTTTCCTGGTCATATCAGGAATGAACTTGAATAGTTAAGGTGAGAAATGAGAGGATAACTCTGTATCATATGTCTTTAACATTTTCTGTAAATTCATCATGTATTCAAACATGGATAAATACAGGTATAAAAACTGAAATAATAATACATGGATATGAGAGGTCCCACAACAGGATGAAAGTAATTAATATTACTAGAAATAGCAGAAGTTTGCTCAACAGGAAACATCTTCTCACTGGAAAGACAACTAGAAAGGGCACAAGACATGCCTCCTAATTTTGTTTTTATTATGGCCTTTCAACAAGATTTCAAAGTTTATCCCTAAATATATGGTTAAATACAAAGTTCCCTGGGTTGTCAACTAGTCTCTGAATTCTTCTCCACATTTATAAAAGTGAGTATTTAGAAGAAAACTTTTTCTTCAACTCAACATTTTAGGAATATCTTAAGGCTGTCTAGTGATCAAGACTTGTAGCTTGAATGAACTCCTTATAATTCTATAAGCTGGGCATATTCTGTTGACCAAGGGCCTTTTTGCAAGGGACACAGGCATCTTAAAACAACCCTGCTTCTTTACCTCCTCTCCTTTGTCTACCAAGCCCTGTTCCTCCTTAGGGTGCCCTACTTCCTGACTTTCTGAGGCTAGGTGAGATGCTCTTCTTTGTGTTGACATGGCACCAACTTGTTACTCCTGTCATTGAACTTTTTATATAATTGTGAAATTGAAAATGTTTATTTACTTCTCTCTACCACCTCTTGATCTCAGGTGCTTCATCTTCTTCATCAATTTATCTTTAGTTCCAATTACAAAAGCCAGCACAGAGGCTCAAGTGTGGGTTAAGTACATAGTCCACCCTCCATTAGGTCCCCAATATATCATATCTTTAAGTGCATTCACAATCTCTAGAGTTCTCAGTATAAAATACATAATCTTAGGAAGTCATGCAGAAAAGATTCACTGAATCAGAAAGAGGATGCACACTTGTCTGAATCTGCCACCCTGTTCTCTCTGAGGGACTGGACTGCTTTGTGTTCTTCAACCTAGTGGAGGGTGTCCAGGTTCTTGGCATCTTGAACAAAGATTTGGACAAAATGCACAGATAAAGCAAGAAAAATAAGAAGCAACACAGCAAAAATTTACTGAAACTGAAATATATTCCACAGCGTGGGAGTGGGCCCAAGCATAGGGGCTCAGGGTTCTGTTACAGAATTTTGGGGGTTTAAATATCCTCTAGAGGTTTCCACTGTTTACTTTGTGTAAGTCCTGTCATACATAATATTTCCTGTCATAGCTGAATTGTGACTTGGCCTCATGTTTCATTCCTCCAGATCATGTTTTCCTGCCTCATGTTCTCCCTGAGAGATGTAATCCTTATAAATATTTATGGGAGGTGGAGGGACCGAGGATCTTTTTTCTGTAACTGCTTCATGCTGGCTTGGGGCATAGTCCCTACCTATTGGGGATACAGAACTCTTGCCTTTTTCTGTCTAGTGGAGGCAGGGTAGTTTCCTGATGGCCAAGGGTGGTGTCTTCACCAGGAACTGGCTGGAATGTTTGTTGCATGATCATCTGAAGCTTGATGGTCTCTAGGTGAGAGGAAGTGAATATGGTTAAAAGATTTAACTTAACCTTCAGGAGGTGGACACCTATGCTGTTAAGAATGTTTGTGACAGAAATTTTCAAGAGGAAAAACAAAACCTGGTTATTCAATTAATTTTTTGTTCCACTTAGGTTAGTAGTTTTATACAAGGAAATTTGCTTATTTCTGTGGTCTACCATAACTTAACATAATAACCACAATTGTAATTGATAGCATACACTTAGACATTTGAATATTATAAATCTCAGATAATTTTGGGACATATATTAGCATTATTCACAAAAGTATAACCTAAGGAAGATCGAACATAATTCTGGCAATCCTATGTACCTAAATATCTTAAATAATGCTGTTTGCCTCTTTTCTGGACGATTCAGGGGTCTCCTGATTCATCCAAAAAGTGAGCCATCAGGAAAGACAATGTTGAAACTGAAGTTTGATTTCGGGAAGGCTGTTAAATGTTCAATTTACACAAAAAACATATCTAGTCAATATGTTTACACAGATAATTTTTTTTGAAAGATTAATTTTTAGAGACCTCCCACCACTTGTTTGAACCTTTAGTTTTTCTTATCTAATTTAAAACAATTCTTAACCGTAGGCAAGAATTTACCTTTCCATGCCTCCTTAAAACCTTTAAAACACACACACACACACACACACACACACTCTCTCTCTCTCTCTCTATTTTCTTACACACCTTGCATGTAAAACTATTTTAGTAGTCTCAAGTATGCCTTATAATGGTGACTCTTAGTCATTTTAATTTTAATGTAAAACATGGTAAGTTATGTTAATTATGTACTAGGTGCTGATGAGGTTTGAATATTTCCAGCATAGTTAGGAGCAGCCAACTCCACATGTCCTCAGTCCTTACCTAGTTGCTAAGCAGACAAGTCAGGCAATTTTCAAAAGCCAAAGAAGCAGTTTATGACCTTAAAGCATTTAGCAAACCTAATATTTGAACATAATTTAAAGCACATGTTTACATTTTGGAGACATTTGTATTTTACCAATAATCTTTAAAATCATCTTTCTTTCTCAAAGATTACTCAGGTCACATAAAGTAAATAAAAGGCATTGCACTATTTACTTTTTTGACAAAATATTTGATTTAAGCTTTTATTATTATTAAATCAATTAATTAAAGCTCTTTTTTATTAATCATTACTTAACAGGGGAGATGAACAGTGACTTTTACCTTTCATTTAACCAGTTTGCACAGACAGAAAGAGGCTAGAGTCTGACTGGTAAGAAATTCTTGCCCTTTTGCCAGCATGTCAGGTTTCTGAGTTCTCTCTCCTTGAGCAGCCCTAGCAACCCTGTTCAACTATATGCAGACAAACACATTGCCGTGAATTAAGAATATTCACAAATAGTTTACAAAGTTTGGAGAAATTAGGCAGAGAGAAACAATATGACTCAAATTCTATTTATGAGAATATACTCAGCACACTTAAAAGTATCAGGAAGCCTAAAATCCAAAAAGTTAGTTTAAGGTTAGAAGGCTGGTGTGTTCCATCAATTCCTGTGGGCCCAACAGAGGTAGCCTGGGAATTCCAGATAAATGGAACAAATGGTGACTTGCTAGAAATTCATAGGAAACACAATAACTATTCACAGAAACAAATAAGAAATTTAACTGTATCTTCAAAAAAGTACCAAACCACTGATACATTTGTTTACAATACTTCTTACTTTAACTTAATCAAGGCTAAGAGCTTTAACTATGAAAATGTTAATTAGCCAAATGTCTACAATTCTCTATCAGGTTTTAAAGAATATTTTATTATTTAAACTTTTCCACATCTTTTTGCCCTACTTAGTGGTGCCTCACTACATCGTTTCATACATAACCTTTTTAAATCCATAATTTGAACTAACGTTTGGATAACTTTTGAATTAGACAAAATAATTTTTTTTTCTCACTAATAGGATAACCTTTTCTGGCACATTTTGTTTAAAGAATTATGAGTTAACTAGAATTCTTTTCCTTAGTAACCTAAAACTTTAGTGAAATCCTAAAAAGCAAGAAATGCTGAACTATCATATACAGGCATTTATAGGTGAGAACAATTCCACAATTTTAGAAACAGATTTCCCCATATCACAACCTTAATTGAAAATTACCCATATACTAAATGAGCATCAAAAATAACTTTTAAGATTTTAATTTGCACAAAAAGTTTACCTAAAACATTTATCCTATTCATTGTACTCAATTCTTTCACTTTTAATAAGCGAGACATGAGACATCAATCAACATGTAAAATGAACATTGGTTCAGTCCAGAAAAGTGGGACAACTGAAAGTGGGGAGGAGGCGTAGGGGCTTCCAGATGACAGGTAGGTAGAAGACAAAGAGTTTATTCTTTAGAGTTTCTGATTAGCCTTTCCAAAGAAAGCAATCAGATGTGCATTTATCTTAGTGAGCAGAGGAATGACTTTAAATAGAATAGGAGGAACATTTGTCCCAAGCATTCCCAGCATGAATTTTCCCTTCAGCTTGGTGATTTTGGGGATCCAAGATATTTTCCTTTCATAAATTACTCTAATTCATCAAAAGAAAGTATACAAACCAAGATCTTCTTGTATTAGCTGTGCTTATAGTTTTATAAGCTTCTATGCCAGACCCTGACATCTCAAAATATTGAGCAAAGACAAACATAAAATCCAGAGAATATGTATGCTGACAATTCTGAAGACATTTCTATTTTTATTCTACAAATAATTTTAAAGCCAGCTTGTTTAGTAAAGTAATATTTAAATCACATGAACTTGAAAATTGCTTAGACTGACTTACTTAATTTATGTTTGCTTTTTTACTCATAAGCCAATTTGCTAGACACAACATACAACAATAAATATACATACAAATAAACATATCTAGACATGTATATGCACACATAAATGAAGATCCAATAGTTGTGAACCTTAGCAATACAAACTTGCTGGTTTCACTTTGTTTTCCCGAATAGATAATCCAATGAAGGCTGTTGTTAAATACACTGAGTTCTAAATTTTTTTTCAAAAATCAGTATGTCCACATTTTCAGTTTCCCTGTTCTTTGTTCTTCATTTTAAAGTTTAACTTACTTGTCTCCTTGCCCCTAGTTTCAATCAACAATCTTCCTGCCAGCTCTAATCAGTAGTTCACAGCTGTTCCCCTGGTTACCAGCACCTATTCCTCTTGCCAAAACTGCACTTTCCCCTCACACATCCCCCTCCTAACCCACATATTTAGAGTTCTCACTCATCCTGGTCACCTGCTCCATCCTGAGTCACCCTTGGTCATCTGACCTGACCTGAGTCACCTTTAGTCACTTGTTCCATAACTGTCTTTCCTGCTGAAACTGCTTTTTCCAGGGGTACTCTAGCTCGTACCCTGCTCTCTTTTAAATAGCCAATCACAATTAGCTTAGACTGTCTAGTCCAAATCTAGTCAATAGGGGAACAACATAGCAGTACAGCTACCGCATCAGAGATAAGAAACCCTTCCCCTCCTTTGTTCAGGTGTGCTCTCATCATTGCTCCATCAATGAGATGCATCCTTCTATAGAAATAAATTGCCTTGCTGAGAAAATTTATATTTGAGTGCTATTTCTTTTACAGCACCGAAAGTTTATTTCTAACAGCTATGAACCAAAATTTTGGGTACAGCAGTTTCCATGGCAGTTTGATTTCTAAAGGCCAAACCTCCCTAGACTCCAAAGATCACTGGGGCCAAACAGCACCAAAAGAGAGTGTCACAGGTTAATCAGATCCCCTGCTTAGAACAGCAGCACAAAGGTTTGGATACATCCAACACCATCTCACTTACCCATTAAACAGTAAAATCCAGACTCCAAACAGTATTGCAAATCCAAGAGAAAATTCTAAAGATGTCTTAGTACTAGACCTCAGAACTTCCATATAGTGCATCCCCTTTGGAGAGGTTGAGGTCTGGGGGAATCCCCAGGGTGTTCCCCTGTGTGGTCCAACCTTAGAATGTCAGATGTCTCTGACCTTAGGCAGGCACCATTGCCATGTACATGTTTTCCCTCCAGATGCAGTGGCCTACTATGAGCTTTATAAGGATAGCCATAGTAATGATAGGAATTAGGGGTTGGGTGGGCTTTTTTTCTTTTCTTTTCTTTTTTTTTTTTTTTTGTCCTTAGCCAGTAGAGAAGGGGAAGGGAAGAATTTAGCATAAGAAAAAGAGGTTTAAGTCACCTGAAACATGTGCATTTTCTCCAGGCTCTACCACCTGTAGGGATAAGGGACCACAACTGGAAAAGATTAAAAAAAAAAAAGGAGTCCTCCCCCTTCCAGGCAAAGAAATTATCCCCATTGACTCCTTGGCCTTCAGGTAACACTGGGGAGTAACCCCCAGTCAGTTGCCCTCAACATCCAAGGAGCTGCTAGGAAGTAGCCACTGAAAGACTGAAAAAGAAAGACAGGAGAAAAAAAAATGGAAGACTCTGGTTCCTTAAGTGAACCCAGCAGTGGTGGTTAAGTGCTTCCACATGGAAACTCCTTAGTTTCACTGGCCACAGCCAGAAACCTGGAGTTGCCTTTGTGTTTGGGTGCTGCCCACCAAGTGTTCTGAGTTGGAAAACAAAAGACATGAAGAGAGAGAGAGAGAGAGAGAGAGAGAGAGAGAGAGAGAGAGAGAGAGAGAGAGAGAGAGAGAGAGAGGGAGACCCTTGTATGGAGCAGAAAGAAAAAGGAGAAAATGAATTCCAAACTTTGGGCTTACCTCCTCCTGGGTGACTTGCCAAATGTGTTACTGGTGGAGGGTGTCCAGATTATTGGCATCTCAAGCAAAGAATTGGAAAATCTGGAAAGCCCCATGACTTTGGAGAGGTAAGGTAAAAGTCCAAAGTTCCAGCAAGAAAAAAATGAAGAAAGCAGTGCAGCCAAATTCAGAACTAAAGAGAAGAGAATAGACTTGTAACTTTCTCATTGAAGCACTCTCCTTCCCAACTCTAGAAGATCTCTACTCTGGGTAAGACTAGGACTTATAAAGATTTATGAGCATTCATTAGTTTTCTCTAAGTTGTCCATTCCCAAGATAGGCTCCAGTTGAGCCAGCTGCAGGATACAAGTCCTGATGAAATCCTGGCCTTAGGTGGCTGCATGTCATGTCCCTTTGTGCACTCTAATTCCTCCTGGGTTGAGTTAGGCTTCAGTAGAGGTGGAACAGATGCTCAGAGAAACTAATGTTCTAGGATTGTTATTTCTTTTCTGACACCATCTTAAATTACCGTTGTCTTTAAATATCTGCCTAATAGACTCTGTCACTTTCTTTATTGTCAACTTTTATAGCTCTAGGTAAATGAAGGTAGGCAACTTGGGATCTGCAAAAAGAGGCAACACATTATTGTAACTGAGGAGCTTGTAACATCTTTGTGCCACCACATTTTCTGGTTGACTTCTATTTTATGGTAGCATAGTGCATGCTACAGAATTGGACAGACCCTTCCTCTATTCTCACTCAACTTCCATAGTACTCAATCTTTTTAGTTTCTAGTTTACACTTCTTACTTGCCAGCAGATCCTGTAGAGCACTGCTCTAGGAGGAAATAGGTCATGATCACAGAAAAATAAAAGGTGTTTTTGCCATCTTCTGCTGAAGCAATAAGAAGCCAAATAATCAATATAAGCTTCCAGTGGAACAAGTAAGAAGTAACCAACTCTATAGTGGAAGCCAGCCACTCTTTATTATAGGGTAAGAATGAAAACTGAAGTATTTATCATATGCATTTACTAGTATCTTAAAGAGATTATATATTTTGTATCATGATCACATAAGTTACAGGGATTTAGATATTCAACTTGAAAACACAAAATTAAGGCATTACTACAGGAAGGCTTTTCACTCCTTTTAACTTTGCAAAAATTATCAAAATATTCAAAGTATCAAGCTTTGGATAAAGATAGTATGATTATAGTTGTGCATAGGCTACTCTCAATACAGCAGAGATCAGACAAAATACAAGCCATGGTTTTTCAAAGAATGTTTCCTGGTGTGACTTCATTACATGGAATAATTAAAAACAATATGCAGGCTGATATACGTGGAGGTAATGATGAATCAATCTTAAAATGCAGATAGTTCAAAATCTGGTAATATAATTGAGTAAAAAATCAACAGAGTACATTTCAGGTGTGAGCTATTAGGCTTGCATGAATAACGTGTGAATGCTGAGGCACAGTGAGAAGAAGCCATTGGGTAACCTGAGTCCCACAGTCTGACCAGACCCTGTCCACAGAGGGTCTTGCAAGAAATCAGGACCAAGAATGGATTTGAGTAATATCTATGTTTCAAAGTATAGAGATGTGTATGACACAATATTCCCCCAGTGAAAATTGCTATTACTGTATACATGAGCTCAGCAGGCTCAGCTTTGCTCAGTCCAAAGATCTAAATGTGAACATGAAAAGCTTCCAAAGAAAATTTTGTAATTAATTCAAAAGAGCAAGAGTGGGACACCTAGAAAAAATTCCATTTTCTGGAAAATGACATAAAAGATGAACTGGTGGGAATGCTAGCTTCTACAACTTTCTGTAGAAGAAATTGGCAATAGCTAAAAAATTATATGCCCTCATCTTTTGACCAAGCAATTCCACTGGTAGGAATCTATCCTAAAATTACTCCTATAACTATATAAAAATACACAAGCACAAAGTTAACAGAATTATTCATTATAGCATTGTTTGTAATTGCAAAATATTTGAAACAATCTAAATGCTCATACATTAAAGAGTGATTGAATAAACTGGGGTATAATCCACATAAAGTAGTCGATACATGTTAAAAGGATTTTAAAAGGTTTCTATGAAGAGATTTGGAGGGATTTCCAAATTTCTGTATGATGTGATCTTCATGTTAGAAAATATGAATAAGAAAATATGTATATTCTCATTTGTGAAAAGAAAATCCAAGGGGTAAACCAGAAACTAACAAGATTGGGTATCTACGGAGGACAGGTGGGAATGTGATAGAGAGAACAGAAGACCAACGCAATGGGAGAAGAGTGCTAAGATGAAGGAAAAGTGACACTTCTCTGACTATAACTTTTTGAAAACCTTTGAATTTCAGAACCATGATATTTCACAAACTCAAAAAATAAATCATACTTAAAATCAACCAAGATACCAAGATGTGAGGGAGACCACAATGAAACACAAGCAGTAACAAAGGTGACCGTTTTACAAATGAATAACCATACTGAAGAGGGTGGAGAAGTCAAAAAACTAACCCAAACAACTTTGGTATGCAGTGCTTTGAGTGCGTATATAAGGCTAAAGACAAACAGAATGGTACACTAATAATTTTCTGTAGTAAGTAAATTTATTTTTCCACAGACTTAATAACAATTTTGAAACTATCATATGAAAATACTAGGATTGAGCAGGGAAGCAAATGTATTATGTATTAGGAGACCAAAGTCTAGCTTATTTAGAGAAAATAGTTTAAAAGGGAAAGCCAAAAGCTTGAAATAAGCTCACATGTGTTGGATTGGAATTAGAAATAACAACAGAATCTCAAGCTTTATTATAGAAATGTTCAGATAAAAAATAAATATAGATGTGTGTATATATGTGTTAGCATTCATACATATATTTCTTAACTTTGCCCCTGAGTGGGTCTAGAAATAATGAGCACTCCTAGAGTGATATCTTGGTGTCGAGGCACCATTATCCAATGAAAGAAACCAAAGATATTGGGAGAAATGGTGAATTTATTCTAGGGATAAAGCAGGAAAAATACAGATATTTTGCCTAGAATATGTTGTGTGGCCAAAAAGGGAAGAAGCACTAAAAATATAATGGAAGCATTAAAGAAAAAAACAAACCTAGGATCCAGCTTGAAGAAGCTCTCAATGGTGAAATCTAGGACAAGTTGAGTAACAAAATAAATATTGACAGTAAAGTATTGAAACCCTCAGAATAAAACTAATATCTCTGAGTCTGCACTGATACAAACAAATGATTAAATCAGCAAAAATAAAAATAAAAATAAAGAAGTAACAGCCCTTGCTAATTGTACAACTGCAGTTAAAAAATATAGAAATAATGACTATAGTAGAAAATCCTTTTTAGTCAAACACCACAAAAAGAATCATAAATAAAAACTAAAAGTAGTGGCTGAAAAAAAAAGTATGATAAGATTATATCTGCAGTCTCCAAAGTGCTTCTCAAAGTGGAAACTTTTTCTGTTTTTTTTTTTTTTGTTGTTGTTCTTTAAGCTCTGGGGTACATGTGCACATCCCACAGGGTTGCTGCATAGGTACAAACATGCCATGGTGGTTTGCAGTCTCCAACACCCTGTCGCCTATATCAGGCATTTCTCCCAATGTTTTTCTTCTCCAGCCTCCCCAACCCCTCTGGTCCCTCCCCTAGCCTCCAACTCCCCAACCAAACCCAGTGTGTGATGTTTCCCTCCCTGTGCCCACCTGTTCACATTGTTCAGCAACCACCTATGAGTGAGAATATGTGGTGTTTGGTTTTCTGTTTTTGGGTCAGTTTGCTGAGAATGATTGTTTCCAGATTTATCCATGTCCTACAAAGGACACAAGCTCATCATTTTTTATGGCCACATAGTATTCTATGGTGTATATGTGCCACATTTTATTTGTCCAGTCTATCATTGATGGGCATTTGGGTTGGTCAGGTCTTTGCTATTGTAAACAGTGCTGCAATGAACATATGTGTGCATGTGTCTTTATAACAGAACAATTAATAATCTTTTGGGTATATACCCAGTAATGGGATTGCTTTTTCTAAATATTTGAGGAATCGCCACACTGTCTTCCACAATGGTTGAAATAATTTACACTCCCAGCAACAGTGTAAAAGTGTTCCTATTTCTCCACATCCTCTCCAGCATTTGTCTCAAGATTTTTTAATGATCGTCGTTCTAACTGGTGTAAAATGGTATCCCAATGTGGTTTTGATTTGTGTTTCTCTAAGGACCAGAGATGATGATCATTTTTTCATATGTTTATTGGCCATATAAATGTCTTCTTTTGAAAAGTCTCTGTTCATATCATTTGCCCACTTTTTGATGGGTTTGTTTGTTTTTTCCTTGTAAATCTGCTTTAGTTTTTTTTTAGAGTCTAGATATTAGCCTTTTGTCAGATGGGTAGATTGTAAAAACTTTTTCCCATTCTGTTGGTTACTGGTTCACTATAATGCTTGTTTCTTTTGATATACAGAAACGTTCAAGTATAATTAGATTTCATTCATCTATTTTGGCTTTTGTTGCCATTGCTTTTGGTGTTTTAGCCATGAGGTCCTTGCCTATGCCTATGTCCTGATTGGTATTTTCTAGGGTTCCTTCTAGGTTTGTTTTTTTTTAATTTTTTATTGGATTTTAGGTTTTGGGGTACATGAGCAGAGCATGCAAGACAGTTGCATAGGTACACACATGGCAATGTGCTTTGCTTTTCTTTTCCCCTTCACCCACGTTTGGCATTTCTCCCCAGGCTATCCCTCCCCACCTCCCCCTCCCCCTGGCCCTCCCCTTTTCCCCCAATAGACCCTAGTGTTTAGTACTCCCCTTTCTGTGTCCATGTGTTCTCATTTTTCATCACCCGCCTATGAGTGAGAATATGCGGTGTTTCAATTTCTGTTCTTATGTCAGTTTGCTGAGGATGATGTTCTCCAGATTCATCCATGTCCCTACAAACGACACAAACTCATCATTGCTGATTGCTGCATAACATTCCATGGTGCATATGTGCCACATTTTTCCAATCCAGTCTATTATCAGTGGGCATTTGGGTTGATTCCAGGTCTTTGCTATTGTAAACAGTGCTGCAATGAACATTCGTGTACATGTGTTCTTATAGTAGAACGATTTATAGTCTTTTGGATATATACCCAGTAATGGGATTGCTGGGTCTAA